AACCGTAAGACTTAGCGCCGTAAGGCGCTGGAGCGCCGCGTCGAGATCCTCGAGGAAGAGAGCAGAAATCTTCGTAGGCGGACGCACTGAGCTTGGACTCGCGCAAAGAAAAAAAGCTGCCAAATGCTCGAATGGTCCCACATGCTCGATAAAAAAAAACCGCCGCTGCTTAAAGAGGTGACTTTCTCCAAGGCCTTCCGGTGCGTGCAGCGGACGCTCTCTGCCGGTCGGGCGATGACGACGACGAGGGCCCCAACCCGACGCTGAGCTCATTAGTGAGTGGCAGGCGGCGTAGAGGCACACGTAGAGGCCAGTCAAAAAGGATGGGAGCCGGGGCCTCTCTGTAGCCTCCGCTGGCGGGATTGCACCTCCAATCCCCGCGGTTCGGGAGCTGAGTTTTCGGGAACTTTTCGGAGATCCTGTGCACCACCTTTTCCGGCCACCCTCCAAGCCAAACCTCGCCCATCTCCCCGCTCTCGGCGGAGACAACCCTGTGTACCTTTTCGCTCCAGGCTATCTTGTTGACCCTGTATTGTAGAAGCCCCTGCTTTCGATCGGCTTAACCGTGACCACTTTGTAAGTGTTGGCCTGTTGGTTCACCAACCCTTTCCTTGGTGCAAGCAGTGCTTCCATGCCTCTGGCCAAACAAACCTTAGAGCTGCCTCATTGCGGTTAGTTCGTGCAGGGCCGTGCCCAACAGGTTGGACTTGTGGAGGATGTTTTGCAGGCCCTTGGCGACAAGGGCATTGCCTCGCACCCAGGTACCACAGATGAGATCTCTCTGCGGGCATGGGCCAGTGAGACTTGACAGGTCTCTCGGGACCGCCGGCCAGAAAATTGCACATAGTCTGATTATTGCTCAAGAGGAAGTGGCCCGAGTCAGCGTCAGAGGTGGTGAGGAAACTTCCGCCAGTGGAACGGGAGTTTGCTCGTTCAACAAGGAACTCCAAGTCATGCAGAGCCATGATGGCAAGCTTTCCTTGAAGGAAGGTCAGGCCTCCCGCCATCAATGTCTCGGATGGCTTGCGAGTTCAGCAGGCCATAACCAGGCGTGCAGCAGCAGCTGAAATCGCCGGTATTGCCACTTTCGACATTTTGCAGAAGTGGCACACGTACCTTCTCAATACTCTTACGCAACAGCTCCCACAAGGTTTCACACCTGTTGCTTTGGAACAGCTCACAGCAGCAGACAAGAAGCTGTGGATGTGGACCGGGCCATCGAGGAGCTCATGTTCATGCCGCCCGTTGCAATGCAGCTGCTCCGTCGGCCTCCCTAAGCGCTCCAATCGGCAGGGACCTCCAAGGTTCACCCCGCCAAGTCCAAAGGCCGTGGCAAGCCCCAGCCCAGTTTTCCAGCTCCCTTGCAGGGCAAAGGGCTGAAGGGCCGCAACGAGCAGGGCGAGTTGCTCTGCTGGAATTACAACATGGAACGGCAAGCCGTGCCAGTTGAAGCATCAGTGCATGAAGTGCTTTGGGCCTTACTCCTTTACCTTGAACCCATGAGCCGGCCAACTCCGCTAAGGCTTTGGCTTGCAGTGGGTCATCCGCTGCAAAGTTTTGCCGACACCATCCCTTTCTTTCTCCTCTTTCCCTTTTACAACCAATTCGGCTCCTACGCCGGGTAGGCATGCTTCTGTGCGTCCACCTCGCCCAGTGAGGCTGTCCTTCTCAATTCGCCCCTGTGCTGCGCGCTCCCCTTGCGGGTGCTTTTGGCCCCTGTGCCTGGCGGGTGTGCCCCTGTGCACCCCGCCGCTTTCCAGGTCGCTGTTTCTTTTCTCGCCCATACTCCAACCACACCCACTCAAGGGCCTTGCCATGCCTTCCAGAGGCCTCGTCTATCAGGAGACCATGCTTTGCCTTCGGCCGCAACTTTCAGAGGATCTTGTTTCCTCTGCCAGTCCCTCTGTTTCTGCACCTGCCCGCAGGTCTGGTGTGGTAGAAATCTTTGCAGGATCGTGCAACTTTTCTTCACAGCCGTCTCAATGGGTTTTCAGTCCGTGGCAGTGGGCCATGTTCCAGCAAAGCGGTGGCATGTTTTACAGTTGGACTTGCGCGAGCCCGGCGCCCAGCAGTTGCTACTAAGCACACTCACGTGCTGATGCCGGCCCTGGTGGTGCTTGCACCCCCGTGCGGCACTGCTTCCCGAGCAAGGGATATTCCAGCTTTCAGTAATGGGCGGCGCGTTGCGAACCCACTCCGTTCGGGCCAGCGTCCAGACGGTTTGCCTTCGCTTCAAGGCCAGGACCTTGCTAGGGTGACCAGTGCCAACAACCTTTACGCGTTCGCGGCCGCTGTCGCTGGCATGTGCAGCCAGCGTGGCATACCTTGGCTTATTGAGAACCCTGCTCGCAGTTATATGTGGGACACTTCCATGATGAGCCGACTCCCTCTGCATTCACAGACAGAGGTCCACTTTTGCGCTTATGGAGGTGCTTGCCGCAAGCGCACTCTGCTGAAAGGTACTCCCACCTGGTTACAGGCACTTTGCCGCACTTGTGACGGTAATCATTTCCATGCCCCATGGAAAGATTCCTTGGGAATTCACACAGCGGAGGAGGCCGCTTACCCACTGCCTTTTTGCCAAGCCATTTGCCAATTACTGAGGGACTCTTTGCCCCCGCGCAGCCGCCCAGGCGGTGTTTGTGGGCAAGGCACTGCCGCAGTGGCGGGATGATGCACTTTTTCTTCGAGCGGCAGTGAAGTTTCAACCTCGCTCGTGGGTCTTTCCAAATTTGCCCTCTCCCTTTGACTTGCAATTGTTTCCGCAGGACCTTTTCGACACGGTATGGTTTCGAGGCAAGCGGCTACCAGCAGGCCCTTGGCCAAAAGGCTCGGTTCTACCATTGCACCCGCCCGAAGCTGCTCAAGGTCAGTTTTGGGCGGCCATTTTTTTAGGTTTTTTTGTTTTTTTAGGTTTTTTTGTTTTCCGGGCCTGGCGGCTTCTCGGCTTTTGTGGCTTTTATTGGGTTTGTGCGGCTTTTGTGGCTTTCGGCTTTGGCTTTTTGCATCCTCCGCATTCCCAGCTGGGTCTTTTCCGCATCCGCCGCATTCCCAGCTAACGTCCTCTGCATTTCCAGCTCAGTTTTTCCGCATCCGCTGCATTCCCAGCTAGCGGCTTTTTAGCTTTTGGCTTCGACTTTCTGCAGCCTCTGCATTATCAGTTCCTTCGCGGCTTTTGGCTTTTGGCTTTTGTTGGGGTTGTGCGGCTTTTGGCGTTGGCTCTTTGCATCCTCTGCATGCCCAGTTGCTCCTTGGCAAGTAGTTTTTCCGGAGTTCTGGTGGCGTTGGCTTCCGGCATGCTAAGGAAAATAAAACCCGGATAAGCTGCATTTTTGTTCGACCTGGGCTGGTTCTTGCCAGAGATTTCGTGATATGTTCCATCGAAATAACAGCGTCCTTTGCTGGATGCTTTGTCTCGAGCACCGACGTGCTAGCTTGCATCCTGAATGCAGCTGTTTGGGGCTCGCTGCGTGTGGATATCTCCATCCGTGGCTGAAGATGCGCAAAGGCCGCAGGACAGCCGAAGAGACCAAGGGTGTTTTTCATCCGATTGTTTGCGGGTCATCTTTGATAGCTTGGATGTTGTGAGGCGGGGCAAAGTCTGCCCGAAGACGATGAGATGCCAGAATTCCAGGTTGAAAAGCGGGCAACACAAAGGAAATGCTCGAAACCGATTCTTCACAAGTGGAATTACCCAAATTCGATATTGGCCGCGCAAAAACAGGCAACTATAGGGGAGAGAAAGTTCAGCAAGCAATGCTAAATCAAGTATTGCGTGTTTGATGCTAAGCATGCGCGAGATTTTGTTTTTTATTGTTGCGCGCGCTTGTCAGGCATTCCCGGAGGGCCGGCTCCTTGCGAGCTGCTAAGCTCCCCGTGTCGCGTGCCGCCAGCGCTGTGTGGTGGCCAGTTGCTTCCGTTCCTGGCGCTGTGGCGCGCGCCGGGTCTCGCAAGCATCTTTCGTCCCCAATCTCCTTTTCGGCCCCTTTCAGCTCCTTTACTCTTCAGCCCCTCCAAGTCCCTTTTAGCCCCTTTCAGATTCAGATCCTTTCAGCTCCTCTCAGTCGAGTCCCTTTCAGCCGCTGTGAGTCCCTTTCAGCCCCTTTGCAGATCCTTTCAGGGCTGAGTTCCCTTCAGCCCCTCTGAGTCCTTTTCAGTCCTTTTCAGCCCTTTCAGTTCCTTCAGCCCCTCTGAGTCCTTTTCAGCTCTGAGTCCTTTTCAGCCCTTTCAGTTTGTTTGAGTCCCTTTCAGCCCCCAGTTCCTTTCAGCCCCTGTGAGTCCCTTTCAGCCCCTTTCAGGCTTTTCCGTTTTCTTCCGCTTCTCTGAGTCCCTTTCAGTCCTTTTCAGCCCTTTTAGTTCCTTCAGCCCCTCTGAGTCCCTTTCAGCTCTTTCAAATCCTTTAGCCCCTTTCAGCCCCTCCCAGTCCCTTTCAGTCCTTTTCAGCCCTTTCAGTTCCTGTCAGGCCCTGTGAGTCCCTTTCAATTCCCTTAGCCCCTCTCAGTCCATTTCAATCCTTTTCAGCCCTTTCAGTTCCTTCAGCTCTGAGTCCCTTTCAGCCCTCCTCTGAGTCCCTTTCAATCCCCCAGCCCCTCTGAGTTTTCAGTCCCTTTCAGCCCCCAGCCCCGCTGAGTCCCTTTCAGCCCCTTTGGGAATTTCTGCTTGCAGACAATACTTTCTCTATAGCTAAGCCAAACAAGGCTCCTTTGAGCCTGGTCTGTTTTTGTGCGGCATGCTTTTTGTGGCGTCGCAGTTTGGATTTTTATGTGAAATGTGGACGTTGTCTATGCAAGTTTTGAACGAACATTTGAAGTTGCAGTCGCATGCTGTGAGATGTGTCTGCTCTGTGTGTAGTTCGTTTTCCGTTTTAATTTTGCTGTCATCAGGTGACTTCGCAATGTTTCATGTCTGGAAACATTGCGGCTCTAAGGGTGTGGTGGGCGGGTAGGCCTTCAATCTTCGGAGATCCTTTGTAGTCGACAGTTTTGCCATGGTTTTTCGCTATGGTGGATGACACAGGAGCTGATTCCTTAGATGTTGGCCAGGAGGCAGGTCTGGACTTGAGAGGGTGTCGCAAACGCTGGTCGGGGAGAACTTTGGCCGCTGCCGATTGCGAACCAGACTCTGCTTCCGTTTCTAGAGAGCGATCAGTGGGCAGTGCAGATGATTTGGGTGATGCGTCAGTTCAGTTATTACCATCTGTCACCTTAGAACCTCCTACCCTACTTGCTGAACAGCCTGTTTCTCAACCGCAACTTCGGCTGGCTGTTTTGGATTTGCATGGATCGGAAGCCGCTTGGAAACAGTGTGCTAGAGATTCTAAAAGAAGGCGGTTGCTTGGTGAGCCTCTGCCTTGGGAGTCGATGCCATGCTTACCTACTCGTATTGGTTCGAGTGACGTGTTGAATTCTCGCACTGTCATCGACAGACCTGAGAGTTCTGTTCAAAGTTCCACCCAGCAGACTCTTGTCAGGAAGCTTGTGTTGAAAGGTTCTCGACGTGAGCTTCCGGACGAGGACATCCGTAGGGTGGCGTTGCTCAAGCTGCAATCTTTGATTTTGAGTGATCAATTTGCCACGCAGTTGGGTACCAGCTTGGGAAGCCTTTTGGAGGATGGATTGAGTCACGATGCCGCAACTCAGTCTTTCGCTGATTGCTTCCGGATGAAGGCCTCTTCGACCTTGCAGAAGCGAGCAAGTTCATTACAGCGTTTGGTAAACATCCTGGCAGGTCTTGGTGTGGATCGACCTTTCAGGCTTACCGAATCTGAACTCTATGCGGCGCTCTGCGAGATGCGGGCTACAGGAGCTGGTGCAACGTCTGCCCAACGCATCATTGAGAGTTTGTTTTTCCTGGAGGGGACCGTCAAATTCCTGCTTGTGGATATTAATGCAGTGGTCTCAGGCAGATGTCGTGGAGTGGCCAGAGACATGTACTTGGGCAAGCATCCTCTGTCACAGAAGTTTCCCTTGAGTGTCTTTCAGGTCAGGATTCTGGAGGAAGCCATGAATCACGAACCTTCCTTCGTGCAGTGCATTTTGGGTCAACTCCTTTTCTGCATTCACGCATGTTGCCGTTGGAAGGATGCGCAAAGACTTCGGAAGCTAAGCGTAGAATTTTCCGAGGAGGAGTCTCTGCTATATGCTGACGCCATTTCGTCCAAAACCTCCCTCAGCCTAGATGCGAGAACACGCTTTCTTCCGTACGTGGCTCTAGGTCACGGGGTGACCGGCAAGGACTGGGCTTCACGATGGCTTCAAGCAAGGCAGGCTGAGCGCCTCGGTTTTGACGATTGCGCTCTCCCGAGCTTTTCAGAACGGAAAGGTTGCTGGGTGTCAGCCCCGATGAGTGCCTCCGAGGGCACCTGCTGGTTGCGCGAGGTTTTGGGCAAGCGCATGTCAGATTGGGACCCACGCAGCTTTGGATCTGACCTGGGCAGGTAGGTCTGTGGACATCGTCTTCACCCCTGCTGAGAGACGCCTGTTGGGTCACCACCTGGATCCGGGTATGAAGTCTGTGGCAACGTATGCTCGCGAATCTTATACAACTTTGTATGCAAAGGTATTGCAGATGTTTGTATTGATCAGAGCTGGTATGTACAATCCTGACCTACCTGCTTTGGACCGGGTATTGCGTATTGCATCATGTGCTGGACCTGCTCATCCCGTTCTGCAACAACCTGACCCTGGGCAAGCGGTGGCAAACTCAGATTCGGAGTCAAGTGTTGCTTCGGATGCAGGCAATGGCTCTCCCGAAGATGCAAGACTTCCGGGCATAGATGCATTCCCGGACTTTCCACAGACCCCTGTTGCGGCCATGGTTGTGCGCAACTTGTCGGGACTGGTTCATGTTGTGAACGAGGACGATCATTTCATTTGCGGACGTAGGTTGACGGGAAACTTCAAATGTTTGAAAGACTGCCCTGTCGACATCGGGCTGCTTGAAGGTTGCTCGCAGTGCAAGAGAGTGTATCAACGAGAGATGTGAGTGCTCGGATACGGTGTGTTTCACTTTGCTGTATGACGGTCGAGCCTGAGCTTGGCGCTGAGTCGTGTGATCCTGAAAGGATTGCCTCTCAAACCTCGGTTCCCGAGCGGTGCAATGCATGCTGGCAGCACCTAGCCAGTGATCCATGTGGAAAGGTGAAAACCGACTCACTTGCCACAATCTCGGATCTGGCCTGTGGTGTTTGTGGGTGCTTTGCTTGCACATCACATCCATGTGGAAAGGTGAAGGCTTGACTCACTTGCCACAATCTTGGGTGGAGCATGTGGTGCTTGACACACACTTTGTGAGTGCACCGTTTTTCATCGTTTTGTTCTAGGAGTACAAAGTGCTTGGGTGCCGCAGTCCCTATCTGCCCGCAGCAAGAAAAGCTTGCATCGGGAGGGAACCTCTCGGCAAACAACCCACAGCATTCTTGATGCTCAGTGGCAACACGCACTTTTGTAAATCGTCAGTGAATGCCGGGTTTTTGAGGAAGCTGATGTGGATAGCTCCCTCTTGTTACAGGACTTCAGCCTTTTCCAGTTTCTTGGGTTCGTCTGTGCAGCCATGGCTTCTTCCTTGGAATCAGAAGCGGCTTTCGTTGACAGGGCTTCCAAGATTGGCGCGGAAGAGTGGATCGTGGATAGGCTCAAAGCAATGCAACTGGCTACATTCGGAAATTTTGCGTTTGCGGTGGCATATTCGCCCCAGTCTGCGAATGACACGATGTTCAAGGAGTTCGTGGCGGATTTGCTGCAGGCAGAACCCGATGCCAGCCAGCTTGCAACTTTGAGGCGGTTATTCTTCGAGTGCCACACCAGAGCTCTGGTAGATGTGCGAAGCCGTGTTTAAATCCAACGCCGACCCCAGTGCGACCATTTGCCTACAGCTGAGAGGGTGGCGCGGCAGTCCGCCCAGGAGGCCGTTGATCTTCACCCCGGATACGAGTGGAGATGTGCGAGACTGGTATTCTGGTGTACGTGAAGCCTGAGCTTTGCTGCAGTCGTGCTCAGGAGACGCAGACCATGAAGAGAGACAGCGCTATCTCGACTGATGCCTCAGGTCTGCTCAAGATTTCCCCGAAAGCCCAGGACCCCAGGTGCGAGGCTTCAACCGAACTGAAGCTACGAGCTGCGCTCCAGCGCCGCAGCCTAGCTATGGATTTGGCGGGAATTGCAGAGTTTACGGTAGTTGAGGCTTGGGTGCAGTTTCTCTTCACTCATGTGGCTCGTGAACAGCCCCATGGATTCAACAAGGTCACTGCTTTGCAGCAGTTGGTGGAGTGTGACAAGCAGATGTTCACTTTGGCGGCTCACCGCACTATGGGATGTTTGCAACGTGGTCCTGCCGATCCAAAGCCTCTTGATGAAGCTATTCAGGCGTTGAAAACCTCGCATGAGGTCTTGCAGTACCTGCCCAAAAGGAGGAACGCCCGAACAGCAAGGGAACGGGCAAAGCCTCAGAAGGCCAAACCTCCCGGAAGGTTGTGTGGCAACAGATGATGACGGCAAGCCACTCTGCTTTGCGTTTCAGTCTGGAAAGTGCAAATTCAAGGGCCCGCCTGGCAAACGTTGTGCCCGAGGATTCGTGGAAGTGTTACAAGAAGGGATGCTTCCGGTTGCGGGCATATATGCATTGCAACCACACTGACTGACATTCAGAGTTTCCAACACAGTCTCACTCACAGCCCTTGTTTATTATACGTCTCTCTCAATTGGGTATGGTTTTTAAGGGGAACGGCGTGCTTCACTTTTCTTTTTGCAGCCTTTGTTGGCTGCCGCCTGAATAATGCTGCGCGTGCGGAAAACGGTTCCATTAATTTGGTCCTCCAAGTTGCTGCGTTGCACGAGGGTCCACCCACTTTTTGGCAAGTCTTGAACACAAGTCCTTACTCATGGCTGGCTTCGCCTGAGATGTGTCTGTGGGAACGGGCTGGTCAACAGTTCTGTTGCTTTGGTCTAGCCTTGCCAGCGCTCTTTGAATTATGGTCTTGGTATACGTTTTCTAGTCTGTTTTGGTTTAATCACCGGGTGCAAACTGAGCTGAGATGCGCAACACTTCGTTTGAGCACAAGCTAACGGATTAAGCTAAATCAGAGCCACCCCCCAAAATGCAACTTTTGGTTGACCAAGTGCCTCCAGCCAAATAGGGTCTGAGTTTATGGTAAGCGGAGCTCATTCTTGATTTTGGCCTCGCAGCAAGTGGTGCCCCTGGGTTGTCGGACATGGTGATGATTTGGCGGGCGACTTCTGGCATGTCTGTTAGGATGCCGGTGGCTGTGGCTTATGTGTACGACGAGCGCATGCCTGCACGCGCGCTGCGATAGATGACCGCCGAGCGCTTGCCATGCTTGTCGCGTAACTTGCCCCTACGACTTGTTCGCATGTGTGCAAACTACTTTGGTTGCGACGGCTGAGGAGATGGTCGCGGAGCGGGTTCAGAGCGGCGCCGAGCCTGCGAACCCAGGCGAGGCAGTGCTGGGCACACTGCCACCATGCAGTATACAGAGTAGAAGCAAGACATGCGAACTTGCACACTGCTCGCTGGACCCGCGGAGCAACGTGTGATACACACCACGCAGCAAATGCAAAACGCTGAGGCCCGGACAATGTTCAACGGAGATGGCCGTGTTGCGGTTAAGTAGGAAAGCGAGCTGCTGGATTGTGAGCCCGACGCGCCTTTGTGAAGGACGTAGGCAAGGCTGTGAGCCTCCGGGTCAGTAAGTTGGCGCGCGAGAAGAGCTTGCCAGCGGGAGTACAGAACGATAGGCATCCTGAGCACAGCTTCGCAGTAAGGCTCTACATCCAGCACAGCGGGCAGACTTGGGCTGGCGCACGCGGAGCGCTGCAGTGAAAACCTCACAGGAATAGAAAACGAGATCGGAAGGCCCAGGCAAAGCTGCGGGAAGTCTGCAATGTGCAAGAGCATGAAACAAAAAGGCGTGCGAAAAAAACAACTCATGGAGCGTAATTCACGACAGCAACCAAAAATCTGCGTTGCAATGAGAAGTCGCGTCTTGACACACAAGCCAACAAGCAGACAGACCGACAGACAGACAGGCAGGCAGACAGACAGACAGACAGACAGACAGACACAGACACGCAGACAGACAGACAGACAGACAGACAGACGGACGGACAGACAAACAGACCGACAAACAATCAGACAACCAGGCATGCTGCAGAGCGACAGATGACACACAGACAGACAGACAAACAGACTGTCAGACCGATCCAAAAGCGCGCGCAACGAAAAATCGAAGCCCAATGAAATTGCAAGAGTTTCCTAGTAGCTTCTGGCTCCAAGCCTGAACCCACAGATAAGAAGTGAGCAAGCCCCTGCGCAGCAGCGGCAGGAAAGACCTGGCACGTCGAGCGTGCTGCGTCCGTGGGTTCTCCCTGTTCAGAAGGTGTGCAAGAATGCTCGTGTTCATTCGCGACAGGCTGCTCGCACGGTCAAAGACTTAGTGTGCGCATTCATGGCTCGCGTAGAAAACAAGATGGTGTAGCCGCATACCGTTGAAAATGCGTCTGGGAACATTCCTTGCAGTGATGTTCCTTAAGATCTGATGTTGGTTATATGGCTTCAGCAGCTAAGGTTCACTTGCATCGTCAGACGCTCAGCGCGCGCGTTCACGGCTTCCGGCGGACGCAGGCCAGGCCCGCCCTAAAACGTATGCTCGAGACACGCCTGGTAATGTTCATAACTATGAAGTTTCTCAACACCACGCCACGCCCTAAGATTCGACAAGCCAGCAAGCTTGCTTTCGCATTTGCGCTCGCGTTCACTCAGGAAATGGTTGACAAACATCAAAATCTGGCCCGGCACTTATACATTTCGAACACGCAGGAGGAATGGTAGATTGAACAGCTTGAGCTACGCCCGGCCTAGCAAGAATGCACAGGACGCTACGGACAGCGTGCTCCAGTTGCATCTTTCTTCAGATCTCGCCGCCCCCTTAGACGTCCAGCGCTGCAGCAATCTGCTTTGACACAGAAGACCAGAAAGCAAATCCTTTCTAGCTCACTCAGGATGTCGGTAGCTTGCTGTCAGCATTCTCCTCAGCATGTTGGGTTTGTCGAGGCTCACACCTTGTGCTGGAGTAAGGCCTGCAACTTGGAAGATGTCCCCGGCAGTCATGGCAGTCTATTGCAGCCGAAGCCCGATCATGCTCCAGGTCTCGCCATGCCCTCGGAAGTTTGCGTTGCGGTGTTTTAATTGGTTTCTGTCAGCCCAGCATTTAGCCGGCTTAGGTCTCCCGTGCTGAAAACCGTCATGGAGAAGTTGAAGGTCTGCAAAATACTTTCATTGTCAGGGCCTTAGCTTGCGACCGCAGTGTTGCACTGCCATGCTGTTCCTAGGAAACGCCTGCTGCAGCTTCCCACTGCAGCGCTGTCTTTGGTTGGGCTTCTGCGGTCTTGCGTGCTCCTTCCCTAGCGGATTTGCTATCATTGGATTTGTTCGTGGCTGCGACTGCTACCGCCGCAGCAGGCTTTGGGCTTCCGCTCGTCTGTGGTGTTGTTGCCTGTCCGCGCCCCACGCCTGTCTCGGTTGCTGCCTCTGCCTCCGCTTCGTTGGCGTCTGTCCCCGCGCTGGTATTGCCATGTGGCCCAGCAGTGCAACTCCGCCGAGGCACTTTCATCGACGAGCTTGATGCTTCAGCCACAGCTGCCACCGCTCCCTCACATGTGCACAGTTCGCCCCCCAAGCCTTCACAGTCGCTGCATGTTGTTCTGCCTTCTTCAGCCATGCGCGACGTGCCTGATGGTGCGACTGCAGCAGCTGGCATTGGCACTGTCTTTGGCCGGGGCTTCCGTGCCTCTTCTCCTTCATTCGTGGATTTGTTCTCTGTGGCTGCATCTGCTTCCGCTTCAGCGGGCTTTGGGCTTCCGCTCGTCTGCGATGTTACTGAATGCCCGTGCCCCGCGCCTGCCTCGGTCACTTCTTTGACTTCCTCGCTCCCGCTGTCATTTCCCGAAGATGGGATTCGCCGCTGACCCGCAAGCTGATGCGCAAGCATAAAAAGCGACAAGGGTGGTCCTTGCATCACGCTATCCGTCGTCTTGCGGCGCACAGTTTTCCAGAGTCGCAGTCTCAGGAAGCGTCAGTAACAACAAGCTTCCGTGGCCTCGACGCGTCACAATGCCCTGTGCCCGGCTTGGTCGCTGCCTCTGCTCCTGCTTCTTTAGCTTCCCCGCCCGCGCTGTCATTGCCATCAGGTCCGCCTTTGGTGTCCCGCCCAGAGTGCTTGGTCGAAATGCTGGATGCTTCAACTTCAGCCACAACTCCTGTCTCACCGCAGTCGCTGCTCGTCGTGCCTGCTTCAACCGTGATGTTGCGACTGCAGCAGCTGGCAGCAGCGCGTTTGCGTTGCTACGTGCTCCTTCTCCTCCCCCTCTGGATTTGTTGTCTGTGGCTGCAACTGCTACTGTTTCTGCCGGCTTTGGGCTTCCGCTCATCTGTGAGGGCGCCGCTCCTGGCTCGGTCGTTGCCTCTAGACTCACTTGTTTGGCCTCTAGGTGCGTGCAGCCATCGGCAGCACCTATGCCGCAGCCATCCTGCTCAATTGATGCGTCAGCCGCCGCTACCAGCCCTCCCTTGCGCGGTCGTGCAGCCAGGTCTCCACATTCACTGCGTGCCCCGACTTCGTCCATTACGCTTGACATGCCCGATGCAGCACTTTTTTGGGCTGGGCTTTTGCGCTGCTGCCTGCTCTATCTCATTCCCTTGCGGATTTGTTTTCCGTAACTGGGACTGCGACAGCTTCAGCAGGCTTTGGGTCGCCCCCCATCTCTGGTGTTATTGCCCGCCCATGCCCCAGCAGAACTGCCTGACGTGCCCCCTTCTGCAGCTGCTGCGTGCTCCCTCGCCTGCCTCAGCCAAGGTCTCATCTGCGTGTCTTGCTGAAGCGTACAGCGCCGTGCCAGATCCTAAAGCCGTGCTTGACTTGTGCTGCCTCAGAGTGCCGCAAGGACAGGTGTCCCAAGCGAAAGTTCCTTGCACCTCGGCACGCTGCAATGCCTTAAGTCGCTAGGTGTCCTCCCAACAGCAAATGACGTCGCAGAGCATTGTTGGTGGTTTGCAAGCTCCCAGCACACGGGCCTCACTGTCGGGCAAACCATGCAGCGCGTTGCTGCGTACGCAGTAGGTAATGAAAGCGTTAGCCCGGCAACAACGGCAACGTTGTTGGGTCCAACAACTTCTGATGAGCGCATTTGCGTAGCTGTCACAGCGCTGGCTTCCTATTTCCCTTTTGGGTTGCTAATTGTGCACGACCCTGCTGAGGGCGTGGCTTTGTTCCAGCCAGGGCAAGAGCCTGCTTTCTTGTCATTCTCGCAGTCTCGAGCAAAAATGTCAGAGTGTCCACTGGCGCCCATCATGCTTTACACGCACCAAAGTGGGGCTGCGCACGGCCACTTTCAAGCCTGCCAAGGGACACACGCCCTGAGCCCGCCCTGCTGCAATGTGCGTCCTGGGCTTTCTAGCGTGCTGCTTCCGTCGCTGTCCAAGGCCCACGGAAGCTAAAAAAACATGTTGCACCACTCATGCATGGTGCAGGGTTTAAGTTGAAGGCAGGCAAGCGCCCTGGAGTCATTGACCTGGACCCCGAAACTCCCATGCCAGGCTTGCGCGAATTAGAAACATTTCTGTGTCCTGCGCGCAGACAACCAAGTGAGTCGCAATGCCCACCAACAACGCAGCAGCCCAACAGCAGTGTTGCCGTGGCCAGGAGAT